AACTTTTTGACCTAAAGTGACAAATGTGTTTGGAGTAAAATACTATGGGTTTTGTGATAGTACTGTCACGTGTAGCCACAGGAAGATTTGGGAGGCTCCCAGTCTGAATCCCTTCTGCTGGCTGGGACCAATGTTGAAACAACCCAAATTGATGTAATACCCTCTGTGTCCCCATCATCGCCTTGGGGATGAGACATTCCCAACCCTGAGAAGGAACAGGGAGGTGGTTGAGAACACTAGAAGGAAGAGAAATCTGACATGGACCCAGAGGAGACAGTCAATAACACAAGATAAAAGGCTGGGGTCTGAGCAGAGACTTCCCGGACCGGAACCCGTTAAAGGCTGCATTTAGAGAAAGTGGGAAGTGACTGAGCTGGGGTGTGGGAGATGAGGCTGGGTCCACACGTGGGGTTTTAGGACTCAGGGGAACCATCAAGGGATGCAGTGAAAAGACTGTCCTGGTTCTCTATTACTGCAAAACAAACTACCAGTTTGAAAAAAACCATCTTTCCTGCTTCCTGACTGAGCTGCACTGCATTGTGCTCCTTTGGAAGTCTTCCACGTGTGCTGGAGTCATCTGCGGTTCTGACGGGGCTGACGTCCAGGCAGGGTCACTCACATGGCTGTGTTCGGTGCTGGTATGGGCTGGGCCTTCAGCCCTGACTGCTGACCACAGTACCTACATGGGCCCTCCATGGCCTGGGCTCCCATAGCATGAAGGCTGGCTCTGCTGGGGATGTCCCAAGAGAACCTGCCTGAATGTCCAACGAGGAACTGCAGAACATCTAAGGGCCCGGTCATAGTCCCCAGTGAAAGTTCTTGCTGCTGCCTTGTGGCTGGAGCATGTCAGCAGGGATGCTCAGGTTCCAGCGGAGGGGCTGACAGTCCGCCTCCTGATGGGGAAAGGCAAGGTCACTTAGCAGAAGGGCATGTGGGGTGGAAGATATGGTGGTGGCCATCTTTGGAGAGCAATCTGCCACATTCGGTCCCTGAAGGTCCATTAGAAAAGACTCCTTAGTGACTGTCACCTGGCGTCACCATGACAGGCTAGCTCACACTGCTGTCCATGCAACCCTGGAAGTACAGCCCAAGACTCTAAAGATCCAAGTGTGTCTTGTCCATCAGCAAACAAACAAACAAAAAAAACCTTCTTCACCCCAAGTTATTCTGGTTACTGCATCACGTTCCTCCTCCTGGTTACAGCTAACCCTCTTGAATAGCTTGTCTATATTTGCTAGCCTCCACGTCCTCGCCTCTATTCACATCCAAACTCAGGCTCCATCCTTAAAACAAGGCTTTCCTTCCAGGCTCTCCCAAATGATCTCATCTAGTCTAATTACTTCAGGTACCACCCCCGTGCTGACAATTTCTAGCCCTTCTCCTAAATTCCCAACCCATGGATGCGACGGTCCACTCAGTAACCCAACCCAGCTAACCCACAGACACTGCACATCTGAACATACAGAGCTGAACTCGTCCTGTTTCCCCAGAACCAGGCCATCTCCAAGTGTTCCTGGCTTTGGGAGGCACGTCCATCCACGTCCTCCATCCCTCTCCTCTCGCTTTCTCTGACATCTGTCACAGTCACTGATACATCGTGAACATCCGTCAGACGCCTGCAGTTCTATCCTCCATGCTGATCACCATCACCACCATCAATTTTTTACCAAGATGATGGCATCAACCTTCTTAACTGTGACCTAAGAAGCCTCTAATCTGACTACTTCAAATCCATTTTCCATGTTGCAGGTAACACTTACTAAAAGGCATTTTGGTTATGTTCTTCCACTGCGTACAACTCACCAGTGGCTCCCACTGCCCTCAGGATAAATTCCTAACTCCTTAACCAGCTCCATACCCCCGGCCCGAGCTGGGCCTTACTTGCCCCTCCAGCCTCATCTCCCACTGCCCCTCCTCACACTCTGCCCCTCAGCCACACCGAATTACCACTTGTGCCCCCAACAAACCAAATTCTACCCAATTTTCAAATCTGTGCCCATCTGTTCCCTCAGCCTCTAGTGCACATCCCCCTCAGTTGCCTTCTCTGTCCCCTAACCTTCTCCTAACTAGCTTCTAGTCCCACCTTCAGGCCTCAGTTCAAATGTCATTTCCACTGGGAGGCCTTGCCTGACCCCCTCAATGCCAGAAGGGCAGCTCCTCCAGAGGGCTCCAAAGCAAACACTGGAACTTATCCCCAGAGCACTTACCCTAGTAATTGGCAGTTACATTTGGGTCCCACCCACCCGGCCTGAGCTCTGGGAGGAGCGGAGGGGGCAGGAGCCTATCTGTCTACTTCATGGCTGAATTCCTAGCACCAGGCATGGTACCTGGTTTGCGCGCGCGCGTGTGTGTGTGTGTGAGACAGAGAGAGAGAGATGAAGGGAAGCCAGTGAAGAGATGGATGCAATGAGGACCCTGGGGAAGGAGGGACGGATGATGACAGAAGTAGGTCTTGGCAGACTGCACAGAGGAAGTAGCCACTAGTGAAAGACGGAGGACAGGATCGTGTAGTTTTTTGAGCTTTTTTTTTTTTAATTTTATGAAAATGGGACCACGTTATATCGATTTGCAAAATGCCTTTTTCATCTACCATTATAGCTAGGTCATCTTTCCTCATTTGTACTTCAGATTGTGATGGTTACTTTTATGTATCAACTTGGCGAGGCTATGGTGCCCAGTTCTTTGGTCAAACGCTAGTCTGGAGGTTTGCTGTGAAGTTACAGTGTAGACGGGATTAACATTTACAATCAGTTAACTTTAAGACGACTTCCCTTGATAATGTGAGTGGGCCTGAGGGGGAGGTAAACATCTCCTCTAGCCCCCTTAGGTCTCTAGCCTGGCCTCAGAATGAAACTGCCGTAAGACAGATTTAACAGGTAGAAAGCAGACAGGCCTTACTAAATTTTACATGTGCGTGGGGGCCTTCCCAAGAGAATGAAGCTCCAAGGAAGTGACCGGAGCTGCAGTCTTGTATCCCTTTTAAGCAAAAAAATGATAAATATGTGATGAAATAGCAAGACAAAGGGATTTGGCCTAAGGGCAGTCATTGTGGGGAAGGGACTAGGGGCTGGATGAAGGGGCAGGGGTGCAAACTTAGTGGAAGATCAGGATTATTTTAGTTAGTATGTTTGAACAGATCCATCTCAGTGTTGACTCCCATTCTCTGGTGACAAGCAAGTTCTCTTCTGGTACAGAGAGTGCACATCTCCCATGGGAAATTTAATGACCTGCTTTTAGGTAAAAGGCGCAGATCAGAAAGCCCTTCGTGGGTCTGTTTCTCCCACTTTCCCTCCATAGCATTCTCATTTTTAATCTCTTCCTCACCAAAAAAAAGTAGGTGATTAGATTTCATTCCATGAAAGTGAAGCCAGAGAGTAAAGAATTTAATGGCCATAAGATTTCTAATTCAATACCTGTTGACAATAAGACCAAAACGTCTATGAAATTAAGCCTGCCATTTAAATATGTAAAATATACATGTATATAAAAATGTGTATTAAATACGTGTATCTATTTTGTAAGTTAGGAAATTAACCACTATAGGATTGAGACACTAGGTTCAAATTTTAAGCCAACCAAGACAAATTCTTAAGTGCTCTCTGTACTTTTGGCCCACAACCGGATAGCTGCTGATCACTTGGGCAGATAGACTTAGAATTACAACACTCCTCGCCCCTATTCATGACAGAAGACAAATCAAAGTTGTTCTTTTCACATGCGGGTTTTATTTTTAGCCCTTTACACTGACCACAGGCTCCCCTC